CGGGCGCCTGCGGGGCCGTCCGGGCTCCCCACCAACGCCCCCTTCCCGGGGCCGCCCCCCGCCCACGCGGGGACACAGCGCTGCCCTCGCTCGCCCCCACCCGCCTCTGGCTGTCGGCCCAGGGCGCCCCCTGGTGGGCGGGACGAGGGGATGGGGCACAGGGGCGGGGTGGGCACCTGCCCGTCTGCCCGCGGAGCTGGCTAGGTCAGGCCAGCTGTTTGCCCCCTCCTCCAGGAAGCCCAGCCTGCGTTGCCCAAGGAGGAGGGGCTGCCGGTCCACCCCTGCTGCCCTGTCAGGGCGGTGCTGGCCGTCACAGGGATCCACCAGCGCAGGAGGGGTGCATCAGGAAGGCCTCCCCCGAAGAGGTCCCCAGGAGGTCAGGGAGGGGCGGCCCAGACCCGGGCAGCTGTGCCAGGGCCTGAGGCTGCAGGAAGGAGGCAGGGCACCTCGGAGGGCTTCTGCCTTTCCCTCTGCTCCATGGCCTGGCCCTCAAAATTAAAATTGACAGAAAGGAGAATGAACGTCTACGAGCAAGTCCCCTGCCTGCACGGCCCCTGGCTGCTCCTGCCCTGCACCCCCTTCTCGTGCCAACTCAGGCCTTTCCTGGTGGGCAGCCCTGGCTAGAACTTGGGGAGACCCTTCCTTGCCTGTGCCCCCTGGGCCTCCCACCTGCCCCTTCCCTGAAACCCTGGCTGCTTTCAGGCAACCCACCCCAGCACCCGCAGATGTGGCCTCTCAGCCCCAGGGACACGGCCCAGCCCGGAGATGGAGCCCGGGCAGGTGGGAGCCCCCGTAGGCCCACCCTGCGGGCGGTCCGGCTGAATCTCTGCCCTCATGGGATCGCGGCCACCAGGGTGAGGCGGGACACGCTTGGGACTCCCTGGCCAGCATCTTTCTGTTTAAACCTTGCCATAGGGCACGTGGGCTCACCAGAGAGAGGGCAAGTGAGAGGTCACTCCCAGGGGCTGGCCCCGCCACGGCCCTCCTCTTCCCGTCAGGACTCCAGGATCACAGGTGTACGAGCCCAGCATGATTTTAAAGCCGCCAGTCTGAGCCTCAAACTGCAGCGGGCCGTGTGGGATCCAGCACCAAACCTCCACACCGCCAGCTGGCCTCCGTCAATTTGAGTAAATAAATAAACAGACGTTAAACAGTTACTAATGAACAGTAAGTTGTCTAGAGCACATTGTTAGTTGAAAAACACCAGGAAGGAAAGCATGCATAATAATGACATTTAAGTAAAAAACAAAGTCTATTTTTTTGGAGAGGTTTTTTGCTATAGGGCGCGTGCGCTCACCAGAAAGACAGAGAGACAGAGAGCGAGAACTCACCCCCCGGGGGGATGGCCGCACCGCCATCCCTTCTCCATTCTCTCGGGGTCTTGGGCACGCACACGCGTGTACCAGGCATGTTTTCAAGCTGCCAGGCTCAGGACTCGAACCCCGAAGTTGGCTATGTGAGAGTCAGCCAGTCACCTCACCCCTAGCCCCTTTTTATCTTATTATTTATCTAGTTATCTAGTTTAAGGTTTTTGCGATACAGTGCGCACTTGCCAGACACAGAGAAAGTGAGAAATCCCCCCCCGGGGGGGTGGCTACCCACAGCCCATTCTCCTGGGATTCGGGGCACACATGCACACACATCTGCGTGTGTTCCAAGCTGCCGCGCCCGGGATTCAAACCACGTAGTTGCCATGTGAGATGCAGCCGCTGTAAGCGGCACGCCACGGGCTGACCCGCTCCTAGTTCCCTTTAAAATAAACCTTCTACCCTGCCATAATGCATGGGCCCTGCTAGGAGGAAGGCCGGAGGGTCAGGGAGAGGTGGGGACCCTGCAATACCGGCTCTGAAGGTGGGGGAGACAGCCAAGGGGTGTGGGCGCCTCTAGACACGGGTAAAGGCAGGACCCAGAAGGCCCCGGAGCCCCCAGGAGGGCCGGTCCTGCCTCCCCAGCCCAGCGAGGCCCATTTACGGGGTTATTCACTTCTGGGACCACCCAGGACCGGTCCAGGACAGTCGCTCCGTGGTTCCCGGCCCGCCTGCTCACTCGTCCCGACAGACACCCGCCACGCCTGCAGCGGTCACTGCTTTAGGAATGGCGATTATAATTCATTACTAAGTCACTGCCGTCCACTCGGGCCGCCGGCTCCGCGGGCCTGACGAGGCGTTTTTGTGAAGATGAATGTCCTTTTTCTATTCCAGGGGCTCACGTGACGCGAGCTGTCTGTCCCAGGGTTTCTGGAAGGTCCACTCAGGAGCAAAGCCGAGCGACCCTGCGGAGCCCACGGAGGCCTGGCCAGGGCGAGGGACGGCCAGGGCCCACGGGTGTCCGGGGCAGGGCGAGTGACGGCCAGGGCCACGGGTGTCCGGGGCAGGGCG